CTCTGTTCGTTTTCTGGTTGGTTTGAATCGTGGGCCTCCCCATGTGTCGTCTTTAATCCATCTTTTAAATGCCCCTCGGCGCTAGCGACATCATGGCATTTCAGTTAGCTAGCCTGATGTTACTCACGAAATTCATTGCTATATGAATGATTTTCAGAGATTATTGGTGTTGACTTATAACTGCTTATTTTTTACAGATGTTAGTTTTGTTTTGGTTTGTATATGTTTACTTTTTGAGGTTTTGCACAGCTACATACAGTACAAACATGGCGGATTTCCATGGTTACGATAGTCTATCCGGAGTTCTGCTTTGGACTTTAGCTAGCTCCTCGTGAATATATTGTTATTACACAGGCACATATTTTGTTGATTTGTGCAAAACTATTGTCTTCTATATTATCACAGTAAACTCACTGACCACTCTGACTCTTAACCGAACCATTTTAGATGGTATCCGGGTTTAAGCCCCACTCTCCCACGGATGTGGTACAGCATCCTAGCAACCTACCCATAACAATCCAGTATTCAGGGAATTGGTTAATTGGTAACCATTGCCTCCAACAGCAATCCGGCCAATCACTGTTTAAGTACCAGATCAGCCTGGATAGAATTGATTCAACAGGGCCGGAGGAAATGCCCAGTGGGGTAGACGTGGGTCAACATGGTCTGGTAGAAACAGTTTTCATGTTGTTTTATAACACCAACAGCTGATGGAACACATAACTTGAGTAAAGTTAACTTTTTTTTTACTGGACACAGCAAAAGTTAACAAGGTGTTTAAACACACTGGTGGATCAGAGCACTCTGGGAAATCCAAACTATTTTGAGAATTACATTCTACTAAACTTGAATGGAGTTACAATAATATGTCCATAAACTGATTCATTCATTTCCATCCCTTAATTATCCACTTCTGGGTCAGGGGGTGGCAATCAGAGGTGCAACCCAAATGTCCATAAATCCTAATCACATCCTGTGTCGGCTCTCTCTACTGTTCACATAAATGCACTGATAGCAGGAATGTGTGCTACGGCATCTGCTTTGAAAATCAACAGTTGTTGGAGCTGTGTTTCTCTTCCTTCTCCCCAGGGGGCGCTCTAACAGCATTAAAATGGTACTTTGGCAGCAGGTCTCAAAGAGCTCTATGGTCCCTCAAGTAGTGTAGTTTAGACTGCCTTTGTCACGTGTAATCTCAAATGAACCCAGACAAAGCTGAAGGATATGAATATGTTTATCATTACCACACATAATTCCTGAATGTTTTCATGGCACTGCTCTCCTTGAGTTACACCTCTCGGCATGTTGTGTGCATGTATAGCATCCATCCATCCATTTTCTTCCCCTTGATCCATTTCTGGGTCGGGGGGGTGGCAGTCAGATCTGCACCCAGTACACAGAGCACCAGCCCCTCACTGATCCTCCTGCAGGTGGTAAGTCCACATGCAGTGTATATAGCAATTCATTACTAATTTATGTGTATGTTTTAATCTAAACCTAATAGGTGAGATTTGAGTATGAGTAGTATGAGCCAGAAGTATTAAAGCACAGTCAAATAAAGACAATGACCGCATTAAAATCCAGTGATACCAGAGCACAATAATACAATAACTGTTTTGACAGTGGTCATTCTGCTCCCTATGGCTCCATTATGTTTTATATTATTGCATTATCTCTGTTTTAACTCTTTGATTCTCTTTCTGGCATCTCCTTGGTTGTTGTTCTCAGGTCTCTCTGGTCTCTGATCTGTTGACAAAACAACTTTGTTAAGTCCTCCGAGATGACTGATGTTGTGGTTTAGAGCTGCATAAAAACATTGAATAGGATTGAATTGAATCTAGTCCAATTTAGTTTTTTTCACCTTGTACATCATGTAAACCAAAAAGTCAGTGCAATTTCTCTGATTGCTCCTTGGTTACTCAGGGCCCACGATGTCGAGTGAAGTGCAGCGAGCAGACGACAGCCCCAGCACCAGTGGAGGCAGCTCTGACATCGAGCAGAGGGAGCCAGCGCCGCCTGAACAGGACCAGGAGTCCACACAACCCAAGAAAAAGGAGACCAAGATCTCCAGCAAGACCGCTGCCAAGCTGTCCACCAGTGCCAAGAGGTACCTGATGCTACTTTTATAATGACACCATAAACAAGTGGTTATTCAAATAAAGCTATTAAAGGTTAGAGATGTTGTGTCTCAGTAAGAATGTCCTGGATATGACTCTTGGGCGTAGGGGGCTTTCTGTGTGGACTTTGCACGTTCTCCCTGTGTCTGCCTAGGATTCCTCTTAGGAGCTTCACTTTCACAAATCTAGAAAAAGACAAAAGAAATACTGGGTGCCAAAGAGGTAGCCTACAAATAAGATTTACAATAGAAGAACCAATGATAACATTTATTTTGGTTCACACACCACTCTTCTGGCTGGGAATGACACGTGCACTGGCTGCCTCTAGAATTACTACGTCAATGTGTCGTATTAGTTTTACAGCTATCAGAAGAACATTTTTGTGGCTCTCTCTGGTCTTCCCGTAGTCCTCAGTCCAGTTCCTTAGTGCAATGTGAGGTGATATTAATCCATACTAATTGTGTATTGATTTAGTGCTTGTATGATATCTTTCGTAGGATACAGAAGGAGCTGGCAGAGATCACCCTCGACCCTCCTCCAAACTGCAGGTGAGCTCTCTTCTCTGGTGGGAAACTATATTGAAGACCCTACTGGTGATTGAAAGAATACATACAACTGAATGTTTTCAAAGGAGACATAAAGTAAAAAACTTAGAGGCTTAGGAACATTGAGTCACCTGCTGAAATATGTTTGAGACAAACGGAAAGTGTTGGAGTCTGTGCAATTTAATGATATGATTAGAACAGTTTGGGTCGCTCCTGTGTAAAGCTAACCTTAAAGCTTACCTTAAAGGTACTTTCTACTTTTGCTCTAAATGAAGATGTAAACTAAAAACAAATGTGACATTTTTGAGAATATTCACCTCCACCATTGTTTTTTAATTTCTGTCATAGACTGTGAATTTGACTTATAAATGTACATAGTAATAATAATAATACATTGTACTTATATAGCGCTTTTTTGGACACTCAAAGACGCTTTCCAGAAGAAAAATAAGAAACAAAAAATAAAAAGCTGAAAAAACATGAGAGTGGAGTCCTCTCCAGGTCAACGCACCAACTTTAAATACATGGTTGATAAAGGGCTAAAAGAATGCGTTTCACAGGCGCTACTGATATCCACTGTGCCCTGACAAGTTTAAAAAAGGGATCATGGAAGACCACAGTTTTGTAAAAGAACTACCCAAACAAGAATCTTTGCGAAAAATAATGATTTAAAAATCATTCTTTTTGCATCATAACAGCAAACTGTCAACATCGCAAGCACATGGACCAAAAGGCTTTAGAACAACAGGAGGCATATTGTGTAGTTTGTACCCAACAGACTCACACATGAACCATTTGTAACTTTCTTCACACCAACAGTGACTTTCTTCACACCGACAGTAATGAGAATCTGCAACACGGGTCTCAGGATGTTCTGACCCGCTCCGAGCTTAGTCAAACTACTATGTCCACAAGTTTCAACAAAACACATTCAAGGAAAAGCGTCAAATATGTAACACACACAGAATCCCTGCAAAACAATCGCCAGAGTACGCGGTACTTACATGGTGATGCAGACACAGCGCTGTAGTGAAAGTTTAAATTTTTTTTGCCACAGTTCTGCGGTGGCTGTGTATATGCCCATGTCCGAGGCAATGTCCTGGCTTTTCTGATCATCATGGTTTTAAGTTCCCACAGGCGTCTTATTCCTCCTCATATCTCTTATCTTAGCACTGCGTTTGTAAAAGCCCAGAGCCCCTGTGCAGCGCGGTCTTGTTTACATTTCAGCCTCTGCGCATGTGCGGTGGAGGCACATTTGTTTACATTATAGCACGACCGTGTCAAAGACTTTGGGGAGATTTATCAAACTAAAGGATAATCTGGTGAAGTTCGTGGGTTCGAGCCCACCTTGAGACCTACTTCACAACTCCCACTGATGATTGCTGTCTGTGTCCTTGGACAAGATACGTAACCCCACTTTGCCTGAAGCCCCTGCTGAATAATCAAGGCTCCTGTGGACTTACCACCTGCAGGAGGATCAGTGAGGGGCTGTTGGTCTGTGTCCTGGGTGTAGCTCTGACTGCCACCCCCCAAACCCAGAAATGGATTAAGGGGAAGAAAATGGATGGATGGAAGGAAAATCTCCTTCGCCCCATTTTGAATGACTAAGAGTTGGGGACCATTGTCAAAGACGCCATATTGTCCTTTGCAGCACTGTTATACCAAGTGACTGCAATGTATGGTCTCAACGCTAGATGCGAGTAAAAATACCCTGTGTACCTTAACCCTCTCTTTGTGGAGATGAGTCGGGGTCATCACAGGGTTTTACATTTTAAAGACGGAAAAGAGTAGTACACAGGCATAGACTTTAGAAATGTCTAAAGCAAGATGGAGCAAGTGGTCAGAACGGGAGCAGTCAGAGTAGAAGAGGAAAAAATGCTCTGTATGTATGAAGAAAAGTTGTTATAGCATCCAAGTGTTGTGTTTGAAGAGTTACAAATGTGTTTGTGTGTTTGCAGCGCTGGTCCTAAAGGAGACAACATCTATGAGTGGAGGTCCACCATCCTGGGCCCTCCTGGCTCTGTATATGAGGGAGGAGTCTTCTTCCTGGACATCGCCTTCACCCCAGACTACCCCTTCAAACCTCCAAAGGTCAGTCCCCAACGTGTGTGTTTATATGTTGTTTTTATTATATACTCAGCCTTCACTTTCTGCAGCAGATTGTTGGGGGTAGTTTGACCTCAAGAGACAATCACAGGCTGATGAGGAGCTTTGAGGTCTCTGTGGGTTCTGTGATCATCTCTGGGGGAGCTATGAGGTCTGTGGTCTCTGTGCCGGAGAGAAGGTTTCTGAGTAACTCCAGATACCTTGTGGTTGCTCAGGAGTAACCGTAGCAACAGCCTCCTCTCTGTGGTGCAGAAAGTATTGCATACTATTGTTAGTGACTTTGAATTATGTATTTAGTCATGTTTGCATTTCTGCTGACATATACATTACTCTCTCTCAATCAAAATAGAGGATGATGGATGTTCCGTGTGTGCAGGTGACGTTTCGGACGCGGATCTACCACTGTAACATCAACAGTCAGGGGGTTATCTGTCTCGACATCCTGAAGGACAACTGGAGTCCGGCTCTGACCATCTCCAAAGTGCTGCTGTCCATCTGCTCCCTGCTCACTGACTGCAACCCAGGTGTGTACTGGTCAGCGGGGAGGGGGCCTTGATTGCATGAAACCAGTCTCATGGTCTTTTTGAATGGACAAACCCAGGGCCTGATAGTTATTCTTTAAACAGTGAAACTTTCAGTAATAGCTGTTTTGTTGTTTTCCAGCGGACCCTCTGGTCGGGAGCATCGCCACACAGTATCTGACCAACAGAACGGAACACGACAGAATAGCCAAACAGTGGACCAAGAGATACGCCACATAGACCCTAACCCTCTGGCCCCTTTCTGACCCTGAGACCTCTCAAGCAGGAGTGTCAAACCAGTCCTCAAAGAGCCAGTGTATCTCCATGTTTTCATTCCAACCAAGCATGAGCACACCAGACCCATTTCCACAAGTGAGTCCAGTCTGAACCTAAAGACTTGAGGAAAATGGTGGAGTTTGGCCTCCTCTCTCTGGCCCCTCTCTGGCCTCTCTCTGGCCCCTCTCTGGCCTCTCTCTGGCTCCTCTCTGGCCTCTCTCTCTGGCCTCTCTCCTCTGCCTCTCTGGCCCTCTCTCTGGCCCCTCTCTGGCCTCTCTCTGGCCTCTCTCTGGCCCCTCTCTGGCCTCTCTCTGGCCTCTCTCTGGCCCCTCTCTGGCCTCTCTCTGGCCTCTCTCTGGCCCCTCTCTGGCCTCTCTCTGGCCCCTCTCTGGCCTCTCTCTGGCTCCTCTCTGCCTCTCTCTCTCTCTGGCCCTCTCTCTGGCCCCTCTCTGGCCCCTCTCTGGCCCTCTCTGGCCTCTCTCTGGCCCCTCTCTGGCCCTCTCTGGCCTCTCTCTGGCCTCTCTCTGGCCCCTCTCTGGCCTCTCTCTGGCCTCTCTCTGGCCCCTCTCTGGCCTCTCTCTGGCCCCTCTCTGGCCTCTCTCTGGCCTCTCTCTGGCCTCTCTCTGGCCTCTCTCTGGCCCCTCTCTGGCCCCTCTCTGGCCCCTCTCTGGCCCCTCTCTGGCCTCTCTCTGGCCCCTCTCTCTGCTCTTTCTCTCTAGTCTGGTGTGCTCCTGCTGTAGGAATGAAAGCCTGGCCAATTCTGGATTCCGTTTGACAACACTGTTCCTGCCCCTTCCTGACCTCTGACCCCTCCCTGACCTCTCATTTCAGTGTTCAGTCTTCAATGCTTCTCCTTTTTTTTATATAAAGACTAAATGTGGGACTTTTCGTTGTTAAGTTTCCAAAGCATCGGATTCGCAGACTGTCACGTGTCTTTGGTCTCATCCCAAACAGATTCTACTTCAGCCTCATCTCACACATGCAGAGATTTTACTTTCCTGGTTTCCCGTTCTGCTTCCGGATCCCGTTCTCTGCATGGAACTGTATACCAACGGTAGCTTTTTTAGGCCTTTCGGTTTGTACTGTGATACTTTTATTGGGAGGTTTTTTTGGAGGCAGACCGCTCGGACCGTCTGCCCCGCGGACAAGGCGGCGTTTGTAATGTTTGACGGTTTGTCTTGCACTTGTGTTACTGAAGCATCCAATAAAACACGCTGTGATTGGCTGTGACCACGCCGTCCTGGTCGGTTTTTGTGCATGTGAAGGATTTTCTATTCAATTAGATTCAATGTATTCTTCTCTCGTCCTAAATCACCACATGAGTCGTCTCGGAGGACTTTACAAAGTTGTGGATTCAGCAGCAACTGATCAGAGAATCAAATGGTTGGAACCCAGGGATATGCATAAATAACAAACACAAAGGAGCCCACATTCCTGCCCAATTCGTGACCTATTTTGTGGGAAAAATGGGTTTGGGTGGGTAGATGCAATTTGTTCTGCGTTTGTATCAGTTCGATGGGTTTTTGTAGCTGAAATACCAGCATAAGGTGTTTAGATCCCTCTTCCTACTACACTTCCACAGCTTTGGCCGAAGTGCCCATGGATCTATTTATCCCTTTTATATATAAAATGTTATATACATTTCTAGCTGACTCTATATATTTCCTAATTTGACCAGCCCTGGGTCATTTAGACCCTAATTTAGGATATTTTTCTTCTACTTTTAATCAATGGCGAGTAATTTTGACCCGAGGGTAGCACATCCACCTGCTACACGCTCCAATTTGGGTGGCCCCCTCTCCATCTGTAGAAGGAGCACTCTCAAATACAACGAAGCACACTAAATGACCTCTGTATGAAATACGCTATATACATAAACTTCACTTGACAACGAAGGCAAATATATGTCAATTATTCAACCAAAAATAAACCCAAACACGGTTCCTACAGAGGATTGTGAATGTTTTGGTCCAAGGGACTTGTCGGCCATAAACAGACAATCAGAATCTTGAGCCTAAATTGATTGCTCAAGCTCACTGTAGATTACTTATGCTTTTGGGCTGGAGCATCTTGCTGGCATCTGCCAACGCTGATTTAGGACTGAAGCTGCAAATCTGTGACTGAGGCTGTAGATCCAGGCCTGAGGTGAAGATCTTGATCATATTAATTATCGTAGTACAATTTACACCAATGCCAATATTGTTGTGACACTAATTTCTGCTTCTCCAATTAAAACTGCGCATGTGTGCAGACCACACTCATGGCTTCTGTTCTGGGTGCAGACACGTTCTCCTTGGACCGGCTGTTGGAGGCCGCACGGGTATTAGAAGCAGTTCTGCGTGCGTCCTGCAGAGGGCAGGCTATGCTCACTCCTCACACAGCAACACGAGGACAGAGTGGGAGAGTTCAGCCACAAACATGTTGTAAAAGAAATGTTATTATTATTAGTTTATTTAAACAGGGACAATGCACATTAATGAACATCACTGTAAATGTGCCAGTTTTAGCTCCAAAGCTAATTTTCAACTGTAGTCCCTGGGCAAGATGTAGATTGCCAACAATATATAACAATAACAACAACAATCATTATTAACCTAAAAATGATAAAACAATTCATTAGTATGAGCTCCCACACAACCTGTTAAAATTCGGCACAAACACTACACCATAGACAATTACACACAACAGAATTACAACGGCAGCAGGCATTAGCACAAAAGCAGAAAAAATAAAATACATTAACATTGATGTGCACAAGTTTGATTCTCAAGTAACCAAGATTTTAACTTATTTTTAAAGGACCTTAATGTATCGACATTGCGTATGTGAGAGGGGACAGTGTTCCAGAACTGGACTGCTCTCACTGAAAAGGCCGACTGACTGAAGGCACTTTTCCTAAGGGGGACTAACAGGTTATTTGAGGTGGCAGATCTAGTTTGTCGCCTGCTCAGATTTATAAAATTAAAAAGTGGTGGAGGAGCCAAACCACGTAAAATTTTAAAAACCATATTAGCATCATGAAATTTTACAAAGTTTTCCCAATTCAGCAGGTTATATTTGTCCAATATACTGCAGTGGTGATGACGAAAAGGTTTCTTGTCCAAAACTTTCAGAGCCTGTTTATAGACAGAATCGATTGGTTTCAGCGTCGTCTTACAGCCCTGAGACCAGCTGGTGACACAGTAGGACAGATGTGGCATTATCATAGTATAAAAAAATAATTTTGCAGCATCTGTATTCAAACTCTGTCTGATGTACCTAAAATTTGCGAGATTTAGTTTAACGGTCCGAATGACTTTTTTGACCTGCTTTTTAAACGTAAATTGTGAATCTAAGATGATTCCCAGATATTTATACTCTGTGTGTATTGTGACAGAACCATTAATTGGAACAGAGTCGGACCACAGACTGTACAGTCGGACATGTGCTGCATTACAGGCTCAGAACGAGTTGTAAACAATCAACATCAGATATGTAGCTTTTATAAAGACAGAATAAAATGTAAACAGGATACAACTTTTTAATTTACATTTTATTGATGACATTTTAACCATTTTAGAAGAACATGTATTAAACCTTGTGGCTGCAGAAAAAAAGTACTATTTTGACTCAACACTACAACTTCTAGAGAAGTCAATGTGATAATGACTGCTCATGTACATTTGTGGTCTTTATAACTTTGACTAGTTTTGTCTATACATAGTTTATTCTATGTCATTTATTTATTTATTTTTTTTTTTTAAAGGAGCAGTATGTAAAAATATGGCCAAAAGTGGTACTGCAAACTCTCCCACTGTCCCTGACTAGGTTGCCAGATATACAGACGAATCCAGCTGGGAACCTAACATCTGAATAGACGAGAGTTTTGTCAAATCTATAACCAACACCTTTATCACAAAGGCCCCAATAGAAATCCTCGTTTTATTCATTGTTTTGTTGTTAATAATTTGTGATTTAGTTCTGCGGCCATATATTACTTTACCAGTATCTCAGCACAGTGACTTCTGGCAACCCGGATCATGGACTTTCTGATTGGTAAAACGTAGAGGGCAGGACATCGAAATACAAACAATAACAAGATTTAGGGGTTGTGACTCTAAAATTGAAATTTGTATATCTCAACTGAGCATTTATAGCACTTAGTCAACTTGAGTAAAGGTAGAAAACCTTGAAAATCCCTTCTAATATTAAAGCTGGAGGAAAACTATCTTTTGTGGAGTTTCTCAGAGTTCAAGTAGCTTCAAACAGAGCACTTACAAATCAACACTGTATTGCCATTTTTCTTTTTTTTTCTTTTTTATCACAATAGTTTGAATAGTTTTCATGTGACATCACAATGTTCCAAAGAAAAATAGTTGTAGGTGGAGTGCACCTACAACGTCTGTCCAGGTAACGGTCGAAAGTCAGGTTTGAGTCTAGTTTGTAGCTAATTTCTCTAACTCCTGGAACAATCCACTTGAACTCCTGCACATTGTTTTTGATCCCAAAAATACTAATGAAGTTTAATTTTTCTTTTACTTCAAAGTTGTCTACTTCTTGGGCCCGGTTTCCACCAGCTTTAGTCCCACTTGGCCCTCTTTATATCCAGGCCGAGCTGGTGCTAAAGTGTTCTAACCGACAGTGATTGACCAGAGAGCTGCTGGAAGTTTTCCCTGGCTACAGGAGTGTTGTGGGTAGTTTGCTATAGGATACGGATCCAGATACTAAAGCGTAATGGAAACACAGATGACTCGAAATAACCATATCAGGAGTAGATCAGAGAAAAGAATGTAAGGATCATGTAGGGACCATAGACTGTGAAAACTAGGGCCACGTCTGTGAGAAGAAACTGTCACAGGCAATTGCATAACAGAATCAGAATTTTTTTTACTGGCATTGTAAGTAACAGGAAGTCGCAAACTAGTAAAATTGCTTTGGTTCTCGGTGCAAGTAAATGATACAAGTAAATATAGAATCAAGCATGC